CACATGTTGAATAGATATGAACTCATTTCCTACTAAGCAAGCAATCTACTATTGTTGATAGCTGTTTACCAGTTCTGTGAGTCAGATATTAGCTTGTGGCAAAGGTCCCTCTTAAATCCTCTGAGTATTCTTTAAACTGTGTACATAATGTTTTCCTTAAATAAAATGTTAAGAGAAGTAAAAAGAAAAAATGCAGTGTTTTCCTGTCTCTTGGTAAATTAAGTCCACGACGTCTCAGATTTGAGAATAATATTTAATGTATTTACCTTTAAAGAGTCGTTTCCTATGCTGTCATTAGTTAAGGGAGTAAGACATTAGGTTTAGCAAGTATTTAAATAACACAGAAACTATTAAGTGATGTGAGCTATGTCAATATTTATACAGCATTTCAAAACTAGAAGTAAAATTAAGTTTCCTTTATTTAGATTAAATCAATTGTGCTTAATTTAGTGACTTCAAAAATGTTCATGATGACAAAAAAAAATAATAAGCAGATGAAAAAAACACACAACTAGAAATACTATGTAATTGACCTTGAGAAACGGGTTTTAAATTCTGCCTTTCCATTGTCCCAGTCCCAATTTCCAAGCAGCATTTTTTAAGCTGGTTATGTAGATCAGTCCTTAAAGCAAAAAAATAGCAATTTATCTGGCCTGTATGTTGTGGATAGTGTTGCCACTAAAAAGAATCCAGGACATTTTTCCTTCTTATCTGCAATGTAGCTCATATCAGCCAACCTGTCACAAGATAGTACTTGATATAAACAAGAGATTGCAAAGACATCTCAGTAATCAATATCAGGATGGCTACAGTATGGAAGTCCCAACCAGTGCATATCATTTGTCTCAGCATCTATTTCTATGGCCAAATGAAGCATTAATTCAAATCATAAATCTATGGTGATTTAAATCTGGGAATGAGCACCTGCCTGCTTTAATGATTTATTTTGTACATTTCAGTAAGCAGGAGATTTGTCCATATGAACTGACAGGTCACCTTCAGATGCCAGGAGCAGACTGTTTATCACCATGCAGACTAGCATCTCATCTTAGCGAGTAAATATTAAACTAAAAGAATCCAATTGATTGTGGATGAGGGAGAATGGCGACATGGCCATATATTTTACTCAGCATGCTGATGCCTCACTCGGATCTATCCTGAAGTTCTCAGGTCTTCCTAAAGTGATCACTCTGTTGGAAAGACATGAGCTCAAGGTCACCAGGTAAAATTGGAATGCACAACACTTATTTGTCAGTGTCAAAGGTTACTTTAAAAACCTTTGTTTGGCTAATTTTTACGATTCATGTTAAGAACTGGAAAGGGACATTTATAATAAAAATATCCCTTGAGTCCAGCAAGCCAAATCGAACCAAATCAAGCCCCCTAAAATCTATTTCCTCAGACAATAAGGGTTTATTTACAACCAGGGGGAAAATCAGTGTTCCTACATAGGAAAATATGAAATGTTCAACAAAACATGTATGCCAGACGAGTGCAAAGAGAGAGAAAAAAACAACAACACTGAAATAGCTTCAAAATTGTCACTGGATTTGGGCAGAGCTAATGAGCAACAATACACCATTAAGAGGCACCTGTCTGAGAGGTTTTACTACTTCAAAGAGCCAATTGATAGATTTGTGAGAGCAGTAAACTTGTATTCTGAAATACTGACCTTAGAGATTCTTGGAATTCCTCCTGGAATTCCTATGCTCCAATACCACTTCCTGAGCAGCTCATGCTAACAATATTCCTAGAAAGTCCAGCACATCCTCCCAGAGTCCGCACACCTAGCCATCCCACCCATTAACTGGATGTATCTTGAGTACTGGGACTGTGGCATGATCATTTTTGTGTTCCTAGAATGAGCTAAAATCAAACTTACAAGGAAATTTAAATGGCAAAACAGCTCTCCCAAGTTTCCTCCCAGGCCAGTAGTTTACAAATAATATCCATCGGATATAATGGAAAAACAGAGGAGGAAGCAGTTAATGACTGTAAAAAGAGGACAAAGGTGATTCTCAAAAGAGTAAATTTGGAGAAATACTAATAATAGCCAAAGCAATACCAAATCTTACTGGTGACCAAAGTGAAAAATAGACATGGTTTGTTTGACAAATATGATATTGTTGAATTATTATGATATAATACTATTATTTAAGCCATTTTCTAGATTTGAAATGTTAGGCTCCAAATTTTCCATAACTTTGCAAAGTCACAGACCAAGTAATTATTGAACACTTAGCAAGAGGCAAATGGTGTTCTCAAAATCAGAGAAGACTAGGGCCATAGAAAGCAACTGCTAATTCACCAACCACTTTGATCTGTACAAGCTCAATCCCACCCCTACCATTGCCTTGTACCCTCCCCTTCCCCCAAACTTTTGTTTCCTGATCTCTAGATAAAGGAGGAAGACAGGGGGTGTGCTCAGGAAAGATAATAAGTCATAAATTCTTAGAGGACAGTAGCATGTGAGACAATGGAATAAAAATGACAAATATAACATTTCCACCTCAAATCAGCTACATATATGTAACATAAATGATCTACATGCCTTAAGGATTAGCAATGACACCAATATTACAACAATCACAAAATACTTTTTCAAGACTTTCTAAAAAATTTCAAATAAATTTCTTCTCTGGTTTAAATTGATGTTAGATGGTGGGTGTCAAAACTGAAAAACAATATAGGCTACCAACTAAATACTTTAATGAAAGAGAAGTGATTTATTCCAAGTAAAACACAAAACTGAAATTGTTTTTTTTAAAGTATTATGTGATACCCTATGTGCCCACATAATAAAGGTAAACTATTATTTAGTAAGTAGGCAAATATTATTCTATAATATTAATTATTAAGTTGACATCAATGTTCAATTCTGAGCTATAGTCTCCTTTTCTCTTACCTGCTGGTTTCTCCAAAGTCAAATTTCTGTCCTGCTGCTCAGAAATTTGAACAGAAGTATCAAGTTTTAATATATTTTGCTTTAAATGTTATTAAAATGCATAATTTGTTTATCTCTCCTCCCAAAACCAACTATTAAGAATAGCCTGCATTGAAATCTTACTCTTCTAAAACTTGGTAACAATCCAGATTATGTTTCAAAATAATAATTAAAATTTGTAGTGGGTGTCTAATTATGCTCTAGTTACAATTCATTTTACTTCAATTATTTTTCAGAAAATCTTAATGCACTGATATTTAGAGAGAGAAAGGAAGGAAGGGAGAGGGAGAGAAGGAAAGATATTGTGTGTGTTTGTGTGTGTGTGTGTGTAAGAGAGAGAGAGAGAGAGAGAGAGAGAGAGAGAGAGAGAGAGAGAGAGAAGAGAGAGAGAGAGAGAGAGAGAGAGAGAGAGAGAGAGAGAGAGAGAACGAACAACATATGGATTGTTGTTCCTGTTGTTATACTTATTTATGAACTCATTGGTTGATTCTTGTATGTCCCCTAACCAGGGCTGGAACCCCTCAATCTTGGTGTATTGAGACTATGCTTTAACCAACTGAGCAATTCAGCCAGGGCTACTTCAATCTTTTATAACATTTTATTTATTTTTAAAATTATTATACAGTAAAATTCACGTTGTGGGCAGGGATGGTACAATTCTATGAATTTTAACTCATTTTTCATGTAGCCACCACCACAATCAAGACACATAAATATTCCATCACTCTGAAAAAACTCCCTTTATAAATACACCACTCCTTCACTTCTTGCTACTACTGATCTGTTCTCTATCCATATATATATATATATATATATATATATATATATATATATAATGCCAAGGAAATAGAATTACATATGTCTTCTCAGATTGACTTCTTCCACCCAGTTTAAAGCCACCCCATGTCTGTTTTTTATTTATCAAATACCTTTTCTTCCCTACACCTGAATTGAGCAACAGCACATTTCAGATAATCATACAGTCACAAGTTTTTAACTTTTAAAAGTCTAAATTTAAGCATGTAAATGACCTAAACAATCTGCTGCCCCTATCTTCTCACTGGAAGCACCACAAATGCAAGCACTAATGTTTTTCTACCCATATTATTCCCCCCTATATCCTTAACCACGTGCCAATGTACTGAAAGTGGAGAGCTCGTTATATGAAGAAATAATCTGTTTAAATCATGCATGAAAAAGAAAACTTAAAAGAGTTGTCATAAATGCTTGTGTCATATGTGAACATTTGGTAGAAATAGTATCTTACACACATCTTATAGCATCCAAATTTCTCTTGTTAAATTATATTTTGAGCATGATTTCTACATTTTAAAGGGAAACAAAACAGTGCAGTGGTAGGCTAAAATGTTGTGTCTCACCAACACAGGATACCTAAAGATGTTCATGAAAAATTTAACCCACACTGAAGTTGTATTTGACAAAACAATTTACCCAGATGAATTCTGCAAAGAAAAAAAAAAACTGTTCCTTTGGTTTAAATAGTGACTGCAAACTTTTCATCTTTTCTCCATACCACAAGAAAAAAAAAAATCAAGAGAAATTAAAGTTATATATCTAATATGAGAAAAATGGATAATAGTTGTATATAGAAAAAATTAATTATCAACATAATTCTTATTGGCAGCACATGAAAGGATTAAGTTATATGTTGACTGCTAAAGAAAATTTCTTATTGAAGAAGAAACACATTAAGAATAAAAAAAGATAAAGAGTATGGTTTTGTTTGTAAATATTTTTCTGCCACCTTAATATTTTAGAATTCCAATTATTAAAACGTATTTGTATTGTGAAAGGTGTTAACTGAATGCTTATAGAAGTTGCAGGCATAAAGTTGATCTTATAATAAAAAAGTAATGTTGCTAATTATTTATTTAAACTGCGTGTTATTAGAAGCTAAATATTATCTTCAAAATATAATCTGTTTTGGAGCTAAAAGGAGCAACTTCTTGAATGGTTAACCAATAGTTTTGTTCTGAAAAGAAAGTAATTTGGTAGCAAAATGATTACACTACGTTTCAGTGAACATACAACTCACCAACACTTGAATTCATGTCCCCATTTTCAGAATCTGCTCCATGTTGGTTATTACTGGCATGATAGTTGCTCATGGCTTCTAACTTGATTTTTTTCACCTTCATTGCTTCAGCAATCGCTGCATTAGTAGCAGCGGCAGCTGCTGCAGCTGCTGCTGTCAGACCTTAAAAGAATAAATTAAAAATGAGGTAATGCAAAATCGGATTTTTTGAGGTAATAGCTCATATGCTTTATATAACACGCATACAAACACATTAAAGTATCTGACACCTTTATGCCATACTTTGATAACATATATTCATTCCCACCTAGCCCCAAAAAAAAGATATAAATGGGAGAGTGCTTTCTAAACTCCTAAGTTAAATATTAGCAGAGACATAATTCATACAAAGAAGGATAGTAGTATTATAGAATGCAGCCAGAATTACATCTCAGACAAACCAATCTGAACATGTCATTCTCTGCTTAAAATCCTCTCTAGTTGCCAAAAGAGGGAAAATTGGAACTGCATAACAGTTCACCAAGTCTTGCCCTAAGGAATAAACCTACCTTGTCACCAGAAGTTTCCTCATTTTCATGTCACATCCCAGCTACATTGAACATGCCACCAGGTCTTATACATGCCCTGCCTCTTAAAGCCTGTGCTTTCACACATGCTGTTCCCCTTTTCTGGAACATCCTTGCCCCATGATGCACTTCCCTGACACTCTTTACTTTGTCCAGAGTAATCTGTCTCTGTTCAACCAGAGAACAGAAGGTAGAAGTGGATGTGAGATCAGAAATAGAGTTGACCAGATTATAAAAGAGCAGGAAACTAAGACCATGCTTTATATATAGTATAGACATAGCCAGCAGAGTTGTTTGAGCAGAGGAGTGTTTCTTTTCTTTAAATTTTGGAACTTTTAAAAAAAATATTTTTATTTATTTCAGAGAGGAAGGGAAAAGGAGAGAGAGATAGAAATATCAATGATGAGAGAGAATCATTGATCAGTTGCCTCCTGCACCCTGCCGCCTGGGGATTGAGCCTGCAACCTGGGCATGTGACCCAACTGGGAATGGAACCTTGACCTCCTGCATCATGGGTCCACACTCAACCATTGAGCCACACCAACTGGGCTAAATGTTCGAACTTTTACCAAGGCAATTCACTTTATCCTGGCATTCCTCATCTCCAAAAAAATCAAACACTGAAATATGTGACCTCTTCTCATTGTAAAACTTTAATAGTCCATGAGACAATTTATACCACCACCATCTCCCTCTATGTTTCTGCTATGGCTGCTTCGTAGTTTCTGATGACAGTTCTACAGCCTGGTTTAAATTTATCTATGTGATTTATTTCCACGTCCAGCTGGTGGATTAGAGACTGAACAATTCTTTCCTCCTTTACCTCCCCACTAATCATCACTTTTGGTTACTACAGCAAATAAGTTATAGCCTCAGTAATTATCAGAAAGTCTTTTTTCAGTAGAAATCCCTGGGGGTTTTGTTTGTTTGTTTTGTTTTGTTTTTGAGATTAGAAGAATAGCTCAGCTTTCCTTCAAATCAAACCAAAGAGGTCTTCACTACCTTCACCCCAACACAAAACCTTCAGATTAGGTCTTTGCAGGAAAACTTGATAGCCACTCCCCTTAAAAAGGCACTGATCTAAATTCAAACAATTCTTCTGGGTCTGGAGCTAGCATTTATTGCCTTTCAAGTTCCAACTTGAAATGATTCTCTCATCTTCCTATGATTGAATTTTCTCCCCAGTTACTCATTTCCTTCGAAGATGTTCCAGAATATTTTCTTTCCTGTTCTCTTAAAGTCCTCTTAGTAATCCCCAGAAAATCTCTCTTCCTCAACTTTGACTTGTTACAAATGTGCACAGCCTACTTGTCCCTTCTCTTCATTGACTAATGTCATTCCATCCCAAAGTTATGACAGTTCTAGGGCCTTTAACTTTGATTTATGCTGCATGTAAATATGTTTCTGTAGTATTTGAATAAAAAAGACAAACCTACAACTTGAGATATGATTGCTATTATACTGAATATTTGAATCTAATTTGGTAACATAAAACATAACTATGCATGACATGGCATTAGAAAAGCCATAAAATCTTCTTGAGTATGGTTTCTTCATCTGTAAAACCATTATATTCACGAAGGGGTAGTATAAGTATTATATAAGATAAACTAGGGGAAGAACGCCACATCATGTTAAGTGAAAACTAAGCATGCCTTACATTCCAGCTCCTCAATGGACAAGTGCAGTCCTAGGTATGCACATCATTGCTGGCCGAAGTTCCCTGAGATAGAAGAAATCTACTTCTCCTTAGCTGACAATATTAATTGTCAACTTTTAAAAAATACTTTTAATAATTTTATCATCTATCTAATTTTATTTAAGGTGCTCTTCTGTTTTTCCACTTGACAGTTTCCCCAGTTGTACATTTCTAATAAAATTCCAAATCACATAACATATAATGTGTGTGTGTGTGTGTGTGTGTGTGTGTGTGTGTGTGTGTCACACACATTTAGTTCTTTAATAGCCTTCAAATCTACCCAATTTTCTCCATTCCCACTGGTTTTGCCTAGTGCAAGCTGCCAACTTTTCATCCCTGGAATCCTGCAATTGCCTCTCAACAGATTCCACTCCCCCCACCTCCAATCTCTCAGCAGTCACTGTAACCTTATGAAAATAAAAATTCAAAATGACATGCAATGGCTGCTCTTAAGTGAGGGACTTTTGTGCTCAGTTCCTACCTATCTGTGTAACATCATCTGTTCCCACAAGTTCCCCTTGATCTCTGTGCTCCAGACATGTAGGCCTTCTTCCACTTCCTCTAAAGGACTACATTCCTTCTTTCAAGCCAGGCTGTGCACACATTATTCCCACTTTCTAGAAAAGCTATCCAGCCCCCTGCTCCAGACCCATCTATGCATCCATCATACGGTGGCTTAAATATTATGCTCTAGGAGTAGTAGGCTAAGATTCCCGACTGTACCTAGAAAACAGTTCCAACATTTTAAGAATCAGCTCAAAACTCGCTTATTTTAAAAGGCTGACCTTCCCCACCCCATTCCCACAGAGTAGAGTGAGCCATCCAGTTGCCTGTGTTCTCAGCCCTGCTGTACCAGTCTGCCATCATCTGTGCTCTGAATCACTCCTGGAATTTTAAAATATGCAAATAGCTGAGTTCTATCCTCTGAGATTCTTGTTGGGGCCCTGCATTTGTATATTTTGGATTCATTTTACTGCTCCTCGCATCATTTTAATGTGCAGTCTGAGAAGAGAAATTCAGTCCCTTGAACTATTTTTGCTTTTATTTTATTTTTTTTAAGAGATGGCCTGTGGTCTTCTGATAGGTTTAGGGTTAGCTCTTTCAACTAAGTTATAATTCGAAAGGGCAGAATATACATCCCAATAGCTGGCACCAATTGTCACTGAATGAAAAAATGCTTCTCAAAGTAGATTAATTGGAAAACCAAAGGAGAAATATCATCATTATTTTGACACTATCAATGTAAATAATTTAAAACATTATGTTTATGTTAAAATTAATCTAGATCTACCAGGAGTAGCAAATCTCATTAATAGAAAGCATATCTCACCAAAGCTGCATCTCCCTCAGATGGAGAAGATTTTTAAAAAAAAAAGCCTCTCTCTCTCTCTCTCTCTCTCTCTCTTACACACACACACACACACACACACACACACACACACACACACACACTGCACTTATGGCACTTCCTGTTGGCCTTGTAGTGGCCCCTTCAGTTCTCTAATGTGATTCTCAAATCCTTCCAATTTTCTGTCTCTATAGAACAAACTTAGCACAGAATCTATAACTTACTTTAGAAACAAGCCCCATTGTGTATTTTGTTCTCTAATAGTTACCTTTGGGGCGAGTGTGTGTGTGTGTGTGTGTGTGTGTGTGTGTGTGTGTGTGTGTATGTGTGTAATGAACTCACAAAATAACTTTTTTTTTCAGCCCTTCCCAGTCAAAATGCCCCTTTGTTTCTGCTGAGCTAGGTAATTCATGTTTCTTTTTTCTTTTTCTCTGTTTTTACTGATAGGAAGGGAGAGGGATAGAGAGATAGAAACATCAATGAGAGAGAAACATCAATCAGCTGCCTCCTGCACACCTTCTTTTGGTGATGTACCCGAAACCAAGGTCCATGCCTTGACTGAAATCAAACCTGGGACCTTTCAGTCTGCAGGCTGAAGTTCTATCCACTGAGCCAAACCAGTTAGGGCAATTCTGTGTTTCTTAAAACAATGCTCTACATCAGATAGAGATGTATCTTGAGTGGGTGATAATATTAAAAGTTATCTTCCCTGGAGTCATAGCCACAGACTCTATTTCTGGGAAGGACTGAGAAATCAGTGTGTTTACCTTCCAACAGGTTGATTCTATGCTCAATGCTCTTCCATTACTTGATGACAGTAAAGTGTGTCTGCATCTTAGAGTGGAAACTTATAAACTAAGCAGATTATCATCTCAGGGTCCTCAATAATGAGTATGCATCCAAATCAAGGAAGAAACATTAAAAGACAAAATTAGGTTGGGACTCAGGAATCAGTGTTTGAGACCTACTGCTCCCATGTGCTGCACCTTGTAGAAATGCATCTTGTGCCTTTCGCCTACCACAGCAGAAGCAAAGGACACCAGGCCACACAGCACTTCTCTGTTTCCCATGCAGTCATACATATATTCATCCCTAACAACACTACATCCATAAATCTATCTGGTATCTACTGTAATAGTTACCAAAGCAGCTTGAATAATTGTTCCTGATTCTGAATTTAGTTCACAAGTTTTTACCTGATTTCTTTCTTTCATTAGGGAAAACAAGGAATAAATCAACAAATGATTTTTTTTTAATTTCTTATACTAAAGAATGATTAACCCATTTACCTCACCAATCATACTTTTTTTTATCCTCTCAAATAATATTTGTAGTATCTCATATATGACAACAAAAACATGTACTAAACTGAGAATGTATCAAATGTATCGATAATATGATTTTATCTTATTTTAAGAGATTCTAAATCCAATTTTATCATCATCAGTGGGGAAGCTTTAATTACTGATGAAAATAACAGGTTGAGAAATACTTTTAAACAAAATATTTAAATACACTTTCCTTCAGAGAAAGGATAATAAGTCTCAAA